CGTTTTAAACATCAACTCAGAGACTGGAGATATAGTCAGCCTGCAGTCTTTTAACTATGAGGAGTTAAACACGTTTCAGTTTAAAGTGCAGGCCACAGACTCTGGTGTTCCTCCTCTCAGCAGCAACGTGACTGTGAACGTTTTAATTCTGGATGAAAATGACAATAATCCAACAATCCTCGCGCCCTATTCTGAGCATGGCTCCGTTAACAGTGAGAGCATCCCCTATTCTGCTGAGGCGGGATACTTTGTGGCAAAGATCAGGGCTGTAGACGCAGACTCTGGATACAATGCGCTGCTTTCGTATCACCTCTCTGAGCCCAAAGGAAACAACCTCTTCCGGATCGGAACCAGCAGCGGAGAAATCAGGACTAAGAGGAGAATGAGTGACAATGACCTGAAAACTCACCCCTTGGTGGTGTTGGTTTCTGATAACGGAGAACCCTCCCTGTCAGCTACTGTGTCTATTGATGTGGTGGTGGTTGAAAGCACAGCTGACATCCAGACTCAGTTCAGACATGTGCCCATAAAGGAGGAGAGCTTCTCTGATTTGAACCTGTATCTGCTGATCGCCATTGTGTCGGTGTCAGTGATCTTTCTGCTGAGCCTCATCAGTTTAATAGCTGTCAAATGCCACAGGACAGACGGCAGTTTCAGCAGGTACAGCGCCCCAATGATCACCACCCACCCTGACGGGAGCTGGTCTTACTCTAAATCTACTCAGCAGTACGACGTGTGTTTCAGCTCAGACACAATGAAGAGTGACGTAGTGGTTTTCCCCGGCCCGTTTCCGCCTGTAGATGGTGAACTGATCAGTATTAACGGAGGGGACACTTTTACCAGAACTCAGACTTTACCCAACACAGACAAGGTAAGAGCCATACAAAACGGACACTGAAACAATGCATTTTGTCTCTATTTTAAAGGTATTTGCATTAAGTGAAGGAAATGTGGTTCTGTTCACCATTTACAATTAGTATTAGAGCTCTGGCAATATAAAACGCTTGATTGCATAAATCCACCGTTTTAATCTTTTCAGATAATGCAAAATGGAAAAGGTACTCTCCGTGGTGCTACTATTATTTCTGTTCAGGAACTTCGGCACAAGCTTGACTTGATGTAGGCCTGCATACAGCTTGAACTTGGCTTGTTTACCTACAAAGCAGTTTAATGTTTTAGAATAATATGGGCCTATACACAACAAAATACTAAAGGTTGGTAAAGTAGAAGTGATTAAATTAAATACTCTGTCAAAAAAGACCAATTTGTGAAACATGTTTTTACATATAGTTGTCATTCAGTATTCATCTTTTTCATACAGTACATGTTGAGCGTCCTTCTCTAATTAATGTACTCTCCAGGAAGGCTAGTGATCTCTGCTCAGTTATTATAGTTTTGTTTTTTCAAGGAACGAATATAATGTTTCATGAAATCACATCATGAAACATTTCTGGTGTGTTCTTATTATTTTAGAAACCCAATTACTCGTTAGGTGTGTTTGGTAAATAATCCGCTGTGGTGTATCAAAAGACCACAAGATGTCGCTCGAGACCACATGACCAACAACTCCTCCTTCCGTGTCGGTGAAATAAAATAGAGGCAGTACGTTTTGTAGGGGCTGGGTTATTAAACCACGTCGTCTTGAAATAAGCTCAATGAATAAGCAGAGCTCGGCCGTCTTGTGGATATTTTCCCGTTTTTGTGGATGAATAGGGTTTTTTGCCTGCATTCCTCATCTAAAGAAAAATATGAGTCGTCAAGGAAATAGAGAGGTCGACTTGATGTTGTGCGCAATTCTTCTTTGTTTATCTGACTGGTCTGCTGCTCAGATTTCCTACTCCGTTTCAGAGGAGGTGGACAAAGGCACAACGGTGGGAAATCTCGCAAAGGATTTAAACATTCACTCGCAGCAACTCGAGGAACGAGGATTTCGGATTGTTTCGGGCTACAGTAAGACCTTTTTCGAGGCAAATTTAAGAACTGGAGCTTTGGTTGTTAACGATAGAATAGACCGTGAAGAGCTTTGTCCGAATCTACCTAAATGTTCCCTTAATATAGAAGGATTATTAAGCAATCCTATGAATATTTATCGCATAGAAGTCACTATACTTGACGTGAATGATAACGCACCATCCTTCCTTGAGCAAACCCATGTGTTTAATATCTCCGAGTCTTCTTCAACGGGAGAGAGATATCCGCTCCCAATAGCTCAGGATGCAGACACGGGCAGTAATTCAGTGAAAACATACAAGCTAAGTCCGAACGAGCATTTCTCCATAGATGTGAGCAGCGGAGGAGACAGTGTTTCCGCCGAGTTAGTGCTGCAGAAAGCATTAGACCGAGAGAAACAACCAGCCATTAAACTAACATTAACCGCTCTCGACGGAGGAAAACCCGTCAGGTCTGGCACCATGCAGATTCTTGTGAATGTGATAGATGTTAATGATAACACGCCTTTGTTTAGCAAGCCGCTTTATAAAGTAAGAGTCAGCGAAAATGCACCCCTCAGTACGACAATATTGAAATTAAATGCGACCGATTTAGACGAAGGTCCACATTCAAATATCAGATATTTTTTAATGAAAAACGGAAATGCAAACTCTGCCGAAAAATTTATTGTTATTCCTGAAAGTGGTGAAATCACTGTGAAGGTTCCTTTGGATTACGAGGAAAGCAATGCGTATGAATTACGAGTACAGGCAACAGATCAGGGTGCTTCCCCTCGCAGTGGTTATTCTAAGGTTCTTGTAGAGGTTGTTGATGTCAACGACAATTCCCCAGAAATCTCTATAACTTCACTGATGAGTCCAGTAAAGGAAAGTGCTGACATTGGAACAGTTGTTGCATTAGTGACTGTGACTGATAAAGATGGAGGTCAAAATGGCCTTACAAAATGCAAAATTGAAGACACAGTACCTTTTACATTAAAGTCAAATTACAAGAACTATTATTCTTTGATAGTAAACGGTTTTCTTGACAGAGAGACTGTGTCACAGTACAATGTAACCATTACTGCTACAGATGAAGGTAATCCGCCTCTATCAAGCACTGCTATAATCACTGTGCACATTTCGGATATTAATGACAACGCACCACGTTTCCCAGAATCCAATATCAATATTTTTGTAGAGGAGAATAGTAAAGTGGGAGATATTATAACAAGAGCAACTGCACAAGATTCAGATGAAAATGAAAATGCAAAATTGACTTATTCGTTAATTGATAATTATCCCAAAAGTTTTCCAATTTCAACAGTTGTGAATATAAACTCGGAGACTGGAGATATAGTCAGCCTGCAGTCTTTTAACTATGAGGAGTTAAACACGTTTCAGTTTAAAGTCCAGGCCACAGACTCTGGTGTTCCTCCTCTCAGCAGCAACGTGACTGTGAACGTTTTAATTCTGGATGAAAATGACAATAATCCAACAGTCCTCGCGCCCTATTCTGAGCACGGCTCCGTTAACAGTGAGAGCATCCCCTATTCTGCTGAGGCGGGATACTTTGTGGCAAAGATCAGGGCTGTAGACGCAGACTCTGGATACAATGCGCTGCTTTCGTATCACCTCTCTGAGCCCAAAGGAAACAACCTCTTCCGGATCGGAACCAGTAGCGGAGAAATCAGGACTAAGAGGAGAATGAGTGACAATGACCTGAAAACTCACCCCTTGGTGGTGTTGGTTTCTGATAACGGAGAACCCTCCCTGTCAGCTACTGTCTCTATTGATGTGGTGGTGGTTGAAAGCACAGCTGACATCCAGACTCAGTTCAGACATGTGCCCATAAAGGAGGAGAGCTTCTCTGATTTGAACCTGTATCTGCTGATCGCCATTGTGTCGGTGTCAGTGATCTTTCTGCTGAGCCTCATCAGTTTAATAGCTGTCAAATGCCACAGGACGGACGGCAGTTTCAGCAGGTACAGCGCCCCAATGATCACCACCCACCCTGACGGGAGCTGGTCTTACTCTAAATCTACTCAGCAGTACGACGTGTGTTTCAGCTCAGACACAATGAAGAGTGACGTAGTGGTTTTCCCCGGTCCGTTTCCGCCTGTAGATGGTGAACTGATCAGTATTAACGGAGGAGACACTTTTACCAGAACTCAGACTTTACCCAACACAGACAAGGTAAGAAATGAAATACATAAAAGCGTTGCTGCACATGTTCTGTTTATAGAGAAAATGGCTA